ACTGTGTGTGCTGAGTAAGTATCTTTTTATTGAAATCTTAGTTCTTTCTTTTTTTGTTTGTTTGATTTCTGCAAGTAAAGGTGGTTTAACTTGTCCCTTTCTCTTTGGTATACCGTTCATTTCTTTTTCTTACCTTATTTAACAAGCTTGAACGTTGAGTATAATTGTCAGTAAAGATGATGAGAAGGATCATCCTTGCCTTGTTCCTGGTATTAGAGGAAATAAATGCCTTTTCTCAGTTTTGGCAGTTCCCTTCTATTCCTCTTTTGCAGAGATTTTTGTCAGTGGTGGTCGTATGTGTATATGGTATTTATATACTGGCTTTTTGTCAAATTCATTTTTACATCTATTGAAATTATACATATTTATATATATGATTCCGTTAGTATTATAAGTTAAATTGGTTGGTTTTCAGATGATCTTGTGATGAACTCCACTTGGTCATCGTAGATAGCCCTGTTTACTATTAGGTTGTCAGGAAAGTCATGACATATTTTTCTTTGTTTTTCCATGCAAAAATGTGTCCTGACTTTCCTGATGACCCAATAGATTTTTTAAAAATTTTATTTATTCATTCATTTTAATTTATTTATATGTGTGTTTACACACACACACACACACACATACATACATACATACACAGAGAGAGAGCGAGCGAGTGAGCAAGCCACCAGGTCCAGGACTTGAACCATGGTCAGCCATGTGGGACTGTTCCAGCATCTTAACCACCTCGTCACCTGCTGGTCCACCCCAGCAGATTAAGTATGATTTATAAAAATTTTGTTAAGAGTTTTCACATCTATTGTTCATGAGGGCTCTTGGGTTTTAGTTTTATTGTAGTGTTTTTTTCTTTTCTTTTTTTTTTTTGGAGAGGTTTTTGCTATAGGGCGCATGCACTCACCAGATGGACAGAGAGAGACAGACAGAAAGCTAGAAATCATCCCCCCAGGGGGGATGGCCACGCCCATTTTAAGATAAATAATTTGGGCATAATTTACATACTAATAGAATTTTAAAATTAAATTTTTTAAATAAAAGATTTTATAATTATTTTATTTATGCTTTCACATTTTTAGGTATGCAATTGCACTGGCCTTAAGAGAAAAACAGCGAGTAATATTTACCAGCCCGATTAAGGCTCTGAGTAATCAGAAATACCGGGAGATGTATGAAGAATTTCAGGATGTTGGTCTGATGACTGGAGATGTTACTATTAATCCTACAGCATCTTGTCTTGTTATGACCACAGAGGTAACATATAGTGTCCTATTTGACTTTTCTTTTTTAGTTTAATAAAGTCTTTAATTAGTGCATGTGATGTTTTATTGCTTGCTGTATTTAGATGAAATGTAATACTTTATTTTCCTAGTAGTCTTACTTGAAATTAATAGCACTTTTCTTAAAATATTACTGAACCCTTGAGGTTATTTCCGTATTACCAATGTTTTTATTTGTCATATTGTGTACCTTCTCCTCCATACTCCTTTCGGGATCTTGGGCATGCATGCACACGCACCCGGCATGAGTTTAAGCCACCAGTCCAGGTCTTGAACTGTGGTCTACTACTTGGGAGTCCAGCACAGTGACATAGCCATTACACCAACTGCTGGTCCCCATACTTTTAAGTATTTTTAAAGACATTACTGTATAGTTTCAAAGACTTGAACACTTAGTTTTCTGTAAGTAGTGACTCTTTGTTCCCTGTGATTTTTTTTCTTCTGCCTCTTGAGTGTTGATTTAATTAGGTAAGGAGCTAATGTTTTACAAAAGAAAGTAATATATTTAACTTTTTTCCATAATTATTTAAGTTTTACATTTATAACATCTTATGTTTTGGACGTGATGAGCTGTCTTTATGATAGAAAGTACTTTTGTACATATTTTCATCATGTATTTGCATTTTACAAGAATGTGGTTATATAGTAAAGAGCATAAATTATCTTCTATTCTAAAGAGCTGGTCAAAAGCATTTCTCAGGACCAGCAGTTGGCATAATGGCTATGTCGCTGGACTCCCATGTAGTTGACTGCAGTTCAAGTCCCGGACCTGGTGGCTTAAATTCACGCAGGGTGCGTGTGCATGTGTGCCCACGATCCCGAGAGGAGAATGGACGAGAAGGGATTGTGGTGTGGCCATCCCTCCTGGGGATGATTTCTCACTTTCTGTCTTTCTGGTGAGCACGTGTGCCCTATAGAACAAACCTCTCCACACACACACACTAAAAAGGCATTTCTTATTTTTCATTTTATTGTCCTAATATAAGTTTACTATTCAATCTCCAAACTTTCTTCCTCTGTGGAAGATTGTCGTTAACTCAAAAAATCAAGGTAACAACTGCCAGAAAGTATCCATGTTGTAGAAGATGCAGGAAAAACGGGGCATCCAGTTTGGTATCCAGTGATTTTATATAGAGGATAGTTTAAGTTGCTCTCATGCCCTACAAAGTGTGGATTTTGGGGAGGTATAATATATTTAAAGAAGTGACATCAGATTCCAGACACATGGAGAGGAGGGATGATGGTAATTTTCTTCTGTGGATTGTATTTGATAAGTAACTGTTGGGTGTCATTTATTTTGCTTTTATGGAAAAAGGAATATTATTTGATTTATGAAATATTTTTAAGATATGTAATCCCCTAAAATTATTTTAATATTTCTATTTAATAAAGAATACCCAAAATCTGGTGTTGGAAAAAAGTTTGTTTAATTGTTGGTTGTTATAACAAAATCCTGCTAAATCTCTTTTTGGTTTTTTATTTAGATTTTAAGAAGTATGCTGTACAGAGGTTCTGAAGTTATGCGAGAAGTTGCTTGGGTCATATTTGATGAAATTCATTACATGAGAGATTCAGGTATGCGCTGCAATGTAGAAATGTGTACCATATATTTTACTTATTGGCATTAGGAATTTTGAATAGGAAATAGTTACATTTTGCTTTTAGTTTTCATGTGCTAGAGTTCTAATAGACTGTGGCTTTCTATTGCGGACAACATGACATTTTTAGGATAATCTGGTGCATGTAGCTTCTTGAACAGTAACATTTGCTGGGTGATATAGTGCAAATTCAAACAAAGCAAATGGAATTAAAAACTGACTTTCTTTGGGGCTAGCGGATGGTGTAATGGTTATGTCACTGGACTCTCACAGTCGACTACTGTTCGAGTCCCAGACCCAGTGACTTAAAACTCAAGCTGGGCACATGTGCATGCGTGCCCAAGATCCCAAGAGAAGAATGAAGGAGAAGGGATTGCGGTATGGCCATCCCCCTGTTGGGAGTGATTTCTCCCTTTCTGTCTTTCTCCATCTCTCTGGCAAGTGCATGCACTCTATAGCAAAAATGTCTCTCAAAAAATCCAAAAAATAAAACAAAAAAAAAAACGCTGGTTCTCTTTTAATAGAGAACTCTATAATATAACTAATCTTAAAGAATAGATTACCAAGTTTACATTTGTAATTTTTATGTGTTAGTTATTTAGAAAAGTATGAAATGCATTTGTAGTAAATACAGTGAAGATTATGAAATAAAAATTAGTGAAAAGAAATTTTAAATACCTTATACTTAGGCTGTTAATACTAAGTATAATGGAAAAGTTAATGTACTTGGTGTTGGGAGGGCTTACAAACTTTGAAAAGTTAAATGCCCCCTGCAGGGTACAACCATGCTGCAGTCCTTTCTCTTCCACTCTCCTCAAGATTTGAGGCATGTACACATAGATGCCCAGCATGATTTTCACGCTGCTGGCTCCGGAATTTAAACCGCGCACTCAGCCATGTGGGATCTGACTGCCTTAACCTCTGTGCCATCTGCTGGCCCAAGTTGTTTAGGTTTTAAAATCATGAATCTTATACTGAGCTTATTTTAATTAGGAAACTATCTAACACTTTTTAGTAAATTTATGTTTATTTTGTCTTACTTATTTTGAATATTTATTTTAATTTTATTCATTTATTCATTTATTTTAATTTGACCAAAGAGAGACAGAGGGAAAGTGAGAAAGCAAGCCACTGGTTGCAGGACCCCCAACTGGTCAGCCATGTGGGAGTGTCCATTGCCTCAACCACCATACCACCTGCTGGCCCCCAGGAATTGTATTTTAATAAAAACTAACTTAAGTTCTGCTGTTCTTCAGATCTTTCTCTCATCTTCAGAGGATCATGCGTATTTTTAAGATGAAAGTTGTTATTTGGAATAATAACTGTATCTTCCATATTTGTAGCTATAACTTTATATGCAAAAATTTAACTTAGAAACCACTTCTCAAAGTTAAGTGGAAATTTTATTCCCTTGCCTTGTTACTGGGGCTTTTGAAAGGATTCAGTCTGCAATTGCTCTTTGCCACCCGTTTTGGAGTAAGTTTTGTTTATAGTGATTTAGTCTGCTTTCTCCTGGATAGTTTTGTGGTTGGAACTTGTGTAGTTGTTAGTAAGATCCTGTGTGGCTAAACGTATTTTTTGTGTAATGTAGTTACATTTCTGATTACTGAGTGTAAGAGAAAATAATTTTAGGTATTGTCATGAAAGTGACACTGAATTCCAAATCATATTTATTTATTTCAGAGCGTGGTGTAGTATGGGAAGAAACTATTATTTTGCTTCCTGATAATGTCCACTATGTCTTTCTATCGGCTACTATTCCAAATGCCCGACAATTCGCCGAATGGATTTGCCACTTACATAAACAGGTATTTTCTTTCCCCTTTTTATGTCTTCGGTATTCAAAATATTACAGGTTTGGTTCACTGTATGCTTCCTATACATTTTTATTAATGCTCTCTAGAATAACGTCATTTTAATGTGAAACTACTTTTCCAATCAAACCAACTTATGAAAATCAACTGAGTGGCTTTTTAGAAATATTGACTCCTGAGTCCTGGCTCAAGCCAATATATCTAAATCTCTGTGAGTAGGAAGCTCCCTACTTGGAAGCCCTGATTTTCAAAAGATCCCAGGTTGATCTGCCAAGCTCAGAAACTCTTGTATTTGCTCAGACAGTGAGCCACAAGCACACAGCAGAGGATTTCCTTTGAGGCCTTGGTACTAGGGAAAGCTAGTCATTTTTTGAACATTTCATTTCATTTTTCTCTCGTGAATGCATTCATTTTACTGCTTCTGTCTCCATTTTCCTTTTCTAGTTCACCTTTACATCTGTATAAGATCTTTTTTAAAAAAAGATTTATTTATTTATTTATTTATTTATTTATTTATTTATTTTAATTTGACCAGACAGGTACAGAGAGAGAGAGGAAGGGAAAGCGAGAAAGCAACCCGCCAGGTCCAGACTCGAACCGTGGTCGGCCATGTGGAATCTAGTGCTCTTAGCCACCATGCCATCTCCTGGCCCATGTATAAGATCTTATAGCAAAGATTTGTTTATATGTACTGAATATATTGTTGATTTAATTTTTTCTGTCCTTTCCCTTTATATTGATGCTTCATGAACTTATTTTTAGCTATTTATAAGCTCTTTAGTGGTATTTTTATAACATTCACCCAATGTTGTTTCTGTTTAAAAGAAAGAAACGCAGTAGATTTCTGGATGAAGTAGATCAACCTATTGCTTTAGCAGGTTTTTTTTTTTTTTTTTTTTTTTAAATATGCTTTTTGACTGTTCATATGTCTCTTAGAGAGTTGTCTGTTCAGCTCAAGGATCAGAGTGTGAAAGAGAGAAAGAGAGGGAAAGTGAGAAACCAATCTGCCAAGACGGAGACTCGAACCACAGTTAGCCATATAAGAGTCCAGTGCTCTCAACCACCATGCCACCTGCCGTTCCATGCTTTAGTAGGGTCTTGAAAAGCTTCTGTGGGGCAGAAAAGTTCCATTTTATCACAGGGAGCCTTTGCATCCTATACTATTCCTTCATAGAAACAGATTTCTGTAATTAAAGCATTCCAGGGCTAGCTGTTGGGTAGTTGAAGCTCAGGAACGTATTTGACCCTTATTAGGGAATCAGGAAATTGAAATGGTGGTAGAATTTTTATTTATTTATTTATTTATTTATTTATATTTTATTTATTTATTTTTTTGGAGAGGTTTTTGCTATAGGGCTCGTGCGCTCGCCAGACAGAGAGAGACAGAAAGCGAGAAATCACCCCCCAGTGGGGAATGGCCACGCCGCAATCCCTTCTCCTCCATTCTCCTCTTGGGATCTTGGGCATGCACGCACAAGCGCCTGGCGTGAGTTTTAAGCCACCCGGTCCAGGACGCAAACCGCGGTCGCCTATGTGGGAGTCCAGCGACATAGCCATTACGCTAACTGCTGTGCTGGTCTGGGTGGTATAATTTGATAAGCCTAATTTTTCTACATTTTTTTCTTGCCTGATTTTTCAGATGTTTTTAAAAAGTGTTTTGCTTTTTAAATGTTGAATTTGCAGTTTTATTTTCCATAGGTCTTTTAGGTAGATCAAATACACAACTTCACTTTGAAGAAGCACAGTCTTATATATTTATTTCTTTCTTTTTACAGCCTTGTCATGTAATTTACACAGATTATCGGCCTACTCCATTGCAGCACTACATCTTCCCAGCAGGGGGAGATGGCCTACACCTTGTGGTTGATGAAAATGTAAGAGAGCAGTTGTCATTCACATGTCTTATAATGCCATACTTTATTGTTTCTATCTTGCTTTTCTTTAAATGTTGAATTAGAAAAAATGGAAGAGATGGATATTTTTTTCCTCAAGTAATTTCATAACCTAAAATTAATTTCTTAGAAGTTTTTATGTAAAAGTTATGGTTGAAACATTTTTTGTTGTTGTTGTTAATGTATAGATTTGATTTCCTTCCTTTTCCAGTGTTTAAAATTGCCTGGAGAATAAAGGGAAAGGATGTATTTTCAATATCTTTTTATTTTCCCTGTTTTATTACTTACCAACTTTTACTACCTCCAAGAACAGATTTTTTTTTTTAAGAGACATCTTTACTAGAGGGCATATGTGCCTGCTGGGGAGACAGGATAGACAGAGATACATTAAGTGAGAAATCACTCTCCAGAGGGGTGGCTATGCCACAATTCTTTCTCCATTCTCTTCTTGGGATTTTGGACACCTGTGCACATGCACCCAACATGAGTTTTAAGCTGCTGGGTCTGGGATTCAAATTGCGATCGACTGCATAAGAGACCAGTGACATAACCATTATGTTATCTGCTGGTCCCAGGATCATTTTAAAATTATTTTAGTGGCTTTTGCTATAATTATTGTATTAAAATTCTGTTTTTGAGGAAACTTTGCATTAGAGTTATTAAAAATACTTAAGTTGTGGTTAAGTATTAGTAAACTACATAGAAAACAATTCTGTGATTCCAGGGTGACTTCAGAGAAGATAATTTTAATACTGCAATGCAAGTGCTTCGAGATGCAGGTGATCTGGCAAAAGGAGACCAGAAAGGGCGGAAAGGAGGAACAAAAGGTAATTTGGGCCTTATTTTTTTTTTAAGAGTTTTACACGTTAAATTATTTATTCAAATTGCTCTCACGTATTTGGTCTTCTACTTAATTTTTGTCTGAGGAAGTTATGAAAAGATGTAGATAGTAGTTGATAAAATTAGATAAATAAATGTTGATCTCTTTTATATTTTTAAGAATTATTTTACTTTATTTATTATTATTATTATTATTTTAATTTAATCTGAGATTGAGAGTGAGAAAGCCAGCCGCCATGTCTAGGACTTGAACTGTGGTTGTCCATGTGGGAGTTCCATGCTTTAACCACCATGCTACCTGCTGGTCCATGATCTCTCTTCTTTATGACATTAGTTAAGATCTAATTTATGTACTGTACAATTCATCCATTTAAAGTGTACAGATCTTGGGTTTTAGTATAATCACTGAATTATGTAACCATTATCACAATCATTTTTTTCAGATAAAATTTACATATCATAAAATTTACTGTCTTAAAATGTACAACTCAGTGGTGTTTAGTATATTCACAGAAATTTATGGTAGTTGGGAACCAGCAGTTAGCGTAATGGCTATGTCGCTGGACTCCCACGTAGTCGACCGCGGTTCATGTCCCGGACCCGGTGGCTTAAAACTCACGCCGGGCGCGTGTGCGTGCGTGCCCAAGATCCCGAGAGGAGAATGGAGGAGAAGGGATTGCGGCGTGACCATCCCCCCTGGGGGGTGATTTCTCGCTTTCTGTCTCTATGTCTCTCTCTGTCTGGCGAGCGCACGCGCCCTACGGTGAAAATCTCTCCAAAAAAAAAAAAAAAAAAAATTTATGGTAGTCATCGTTATCTATTTCCAAAACATCTTCATCAACCTAGAAAAGAAACCCTGTACACATTAGTAGTCATTTCTCATTTTTTCTCTCAATCTTTCCTCCCTACCCCTAGGAACTTAGATAATCAGTAAACGTCTTTCTGTTTCTATAGATTTGCCTATCTCAATATTTCATATAAAGTTATGATGACCTATGTGGTCTTTCGCAACCGGTTATTTCACTTAACACAATGTTTTCAAGGTTCATCCATGTTAACTGCTAGTACTTCATTCCTTTTTCTAGCCAAATAACATGCCATTGTCTACATATGCCAAATTTTCTTTCTGTGCTTACCAGTGGATGGGCATTTGTGTTGTTTCACATTTTTGACTGCATTATGAATAAAGGTGCTATAAATATTAATGTGTGAGGTGCAAGTTTTTGTCAATATGTGTTTTCTCTTGGCTATTTACTAGCAGTGGAATTGCTGGGTCGTATGGATAATCTATATTTAACTTTTTATTTTTTTAGAATTATTTATTAATTATATTTTAATTTGATCAGAAAAAGACTCAAACTGTAGTCAGCCATATGGGAGTCCAGCACCTAACCACCATGCCATCTGATGGCCCCAATATATTTAACCTCTAAAAGATCCGTCAGATTATTTTTCAAAGTAGCTGTATCATTTTTCCATTTCCATCAGGAGCAGATAAGGATTCCATTTGATCAACATACTTGCCTGTAGTTACGATTATGTGTGTGTCTGATTATAGTCAACCTGTAGGTGTGAAGTATCCCAATTCTTTTATTTTTTTATTTTTTTTTCTTTGATGAGGGAGAAAAAGCGGCACCTGTAATATGGGTCTTTTCATACCATGATCCCCTTCTGCAGCCTTCCGGCTAGCCAGGATCACAGGTGTGCCTAGCATGTTCAGGTTAACCTGGCATCTTGCAAATAGTTCCAGTATTGTGCAGCAGAACCCCGCTGCCTGAGCCGGCAGTTGGGCCTCAATGTGGTTTACATTTCCTTGGTGGCCAGTGATGTTGTGCATCCTTTCATGAGCTTCGTGGCCATTTGTAAATCTTCTTTATAGAAATGTCTATACAAATTCTCTGTCCATGTTTAAATGGGATTAGTTTTCTTTTTGCTGTTGAGAAGAGTTCTTTATATATTCTGAATACTAGACCCTTGTCAGAGAGATGATTTGCAAATATTTTCTTCCATTATGTGATTTGGGGATATTTTTTGACTTTATTAATGATAATCCTTTTAATTGCGAAAGTTTTTTATTTTGAGGAGGTCTGATCTTTGTTTAATTTTTCTGGTGTTTGTAGTTTTGATGTAATCAAAGAACACATTAGCAAGCCCAATATAATGAATATTTACTTCTTTAGTTTTTGAAGAGTTTTATAGTTTTAGCTTTTACATTTAGGTCTGTGATACGTATTGAATTAATTTTGGGGTATGGTTTATTTTTTCTTTTTTATAGGACCATCAAATGTGTTCAAGATTGTGAAGATGATTATGGAAAGAAATTTTCAACCTGTAATTATTTTTAGTTTTAGTAAAAAGGATTGTGAAGCCTATGCACTTCAAATGACCAAATTAGATTTTAACACAGGTAATGCATAATTTCAGTAGATTTTTTTACGTTATGTGAAAATGAGTGTAAAAATATATTCTGGTAATATACTTACCTACTGTGTATTACTAGAATATGTACTAAATCTTACAGTTAAAAATAGTAGGCACTTGTAAAAGGTTTAAGAGCCTTCGATTTATCATTTCTTTTTCTCTCTTCTCCTTTTATTGAAAGATACAAGTACTTTGCTTTATATAAAATCCAACAAATCCTGCTGAGAAATACTAGAATCGTAGTTTCTTAAGCCATTACCATAAATTCCTATTATTGTGGTTTTCTGTGTGACTAGTTAAGGATAGAAGGTATCTTAGATCTCCTTCTATTAGGTTGTTGGGAAAGTCATGACTTTTTTTGGGGGGGCGGGGTTTGGTATAAGGCACGTGCGCTCGCCAGAAAGAGAGAGACAGAGAGATAGCAAGCAAGAAATCACCCCCCAGGGAGGGTGGCCATGCCCTAATCCCTTCTCCTCCATTCTCCTCTTGGGATCTTGGGCACGCACGCAAACGTGCCCGGTGTGGGTTGAAGCCACCACGTCCAGGACTCGAACTGTGGTCGACTACATGGGAGTCCAGCGACACAGCCATTACGCTAACTGCTGGTCCCAACGTTTTTTTTTTTTAATCCGAAAATTCGTCAAGACTTTCCCAACAACCCAACATATAGAAAGTACTGAACTTTGTTTTTATAGAGAGAAGAGGAAGATTTCCCTTTGCCTAACTATGCACTGAGTCTTAAATAAAATAACTTCTAGCAAATTAATAAATTTTCCCTGTACATTAACTGTAAATGTAACTCACTTAAAGTCACATAGCTATATAGTGACAGCATGGCTAAGAATTGCAGTGTGGTAAATGCCAACATATTTTTCATTCATTTCTCCCTTTTACATGTGTAACCTGTACAGTGAGCAGTAAATAATGTCTTGAATCATTCAAAATAAAATTTCAGTTGTATTGTTGTTGTTTTACTCTCGGGCGCATGTGCTTGCTGGAGAGAGAGAGAGAGAGAAAATGAGAAATCACCCCCTAAGGCATATGGCCATGCCACAGTATCTTCTCTTCCAGTCTCTCCGGATTTTGGGTGCACATGGACATGCATGCACTTAGCATGATTTTCAAGCCCCTGGGTTTGGGATTCCCAACTGCTCAGTCAGCCACATGAGATCCAGCTGCCCCAACCACCATGCCACTGGCTAGCTTGTGTTGTTTTTTGTCTATGCCTTTTAAGCCAATTCTTACCTTTCTATGAATTAAAATAAAAGTAGCAGATAATTCACATAGCCTTATAAAGTCAATAATATTTTGTTCTTCTTGAGTGAACTGTTCTCCTTATACATATTTTCTCTTAACTGCCAGTGGCGAATATGCTTAAAGTTGCAGGGCTATATATATTGATTAACTCAACTGTAACTTGGTAAATGCCACATAAGTAGACAGTACAGGGGTTAAGAACATGGGTTTTAGAATTATTTTTCTAATAGTTAGTGGCAGTGCTGATTATTTACAGTACGCCCAATTTTCCTTAGTAGTAAAAGGTGGGTAATGGGGCAAGCAGGTGACATGTTGGTTAAAGACGCTGGACTCCCACATGGCTGACAGTGGTTTGAGTCTTGGACTTGGTGGTTTGCTTTCTCACTTTCTTTCTCTCTGTCTTTCTCTGTTCAAATTAAAACAAATAATAGTTAAAATAAATAAAATTAAATAATAATTCTTTAAATACAAAAAATTTGGGTAATAGTTCCTCTGTCCTTTAATTCTTGAAGAAATTGATAGAATTAAATGTTGCAGGAATAACATTTATTTACAATTTTTATAACATAGTATTTTCTTTAAGACTGCTAGATATGTTTGGAAGGCTGTGAATTTTATTATGTCCAAATTTTTATCTACGTTCCCTTTCAATTATTTTATTTAATTAATTAATTAATTAATTTATTTATTTATTTTGGAGAGGTTTTTGCTATAGGACGTGTGTGCTTGTCAGACAGGCAGAGAGAGTCAGAGAGACAGAAAGTGAGAAATCACCCCCTGGGGGAGATGACCACGCTGCCATCCCTTCTCCGTTCTCCTCTTGGGATCTTGGGCATGCACACACATGCGCCTGGTGTGAATTTTAAGCCACAGGGTCCAGGACGCGAACTGCGGTTGACTACATGGGAGTCCAGTGACATAGCCATTACACTAACTGCTGGTCCCTTTTCTTTCTTTCTTTCTTTCTTTCTTTCTTTCTTTTTTTTTTTGAGAGGTTTTTTTGCTATAGGGCGCATGCGCTCGCCAGACAGACAGAGAGAGACATAGAGACAAAGCTAGAAATCACCCCCCAGGGGGCATGGTCACGCCGCAATCCCTTCTCCTTCATTCTCCTCTCGGGATCTTGGGCATGCACGCACACGCGCCCGGCGTGAGTTTTAAGCCACCAGGTCCAGGATGTGAACCACGGTCGACTACGTGGGAGTCCAGTGACATAGCCATTATGCTAATTGCTGGTTCCTGCTGCTGGTCCCTCTCAATGATTTTAAATACTGGCTTTACTTTTAATAGACCTATTATTCTTTGTTTTATGAGTCACTTATTATTACTGACTCTGATACATATGTGGCTTTGAATTTTCTGTCTTAGATGAAGAAAAGAAGATGGTTGAAGAAGTTTTCAGTAATGCAATTGACTGCTTGTCTGATGAAGATAAAAAGCTCCCTCAAGTAAGTTTTTCATATTTGTAAATAAGGTGTGGCTATTAATAGATTGCATATATTTACTTTGCACTTCTTTTGTGCATATTGTACTGTTTGTACGCTGTAACCAGTGTGCATGGAAATGATACCTTGAATTATATTTTACACTTCTGAAAAAGTGACAAAACAAAAGGTTTACTGACTAAAGGAACTTTTCTCTGAGAACTAGCATGGTCAGTAATTTACTACAGTGGTTAGAATTTATGAGCATGATCTGGAATTTACTTACTGTTTGTGTTCCTAATATTACAAACTCTTTAGTTTTACTTTTAACTCCTTAAATTTCTTAATTCATAAGACTACCAAACAAAGGCTAGCACGTTTAGTGATGAATTTAATACCTCCTTTAAATTAATGTATTTCTCCTTTGACTATTGGAATTGCTTGGAATGCTGAAATATGCTGATGTTGGGTGCCACTCCCAGATTCTGATTTAATTGTAATATGTGGGTTTTGATCATTAGAATCTTTCAAAAGCTCTCCAGGTGATTCTGCTGTGCTTCCAAAGCTAAGAATTACAGCTTTAGTCTAACCTAATATAAAGTTTTTTTGTTTGAAAAGAAAACTCAGGATGTCATACTCTGTAGATGAATGCTTTGATTTGTAAAGGATTTACTGTAAGATCATGGTCACACTTTTCTAGGCATTAAAAATGATATTTAATTTACAAAACTTTTCTAGTAATTTTCCTTCTCGATTCATGCTAAGCCATGTCTTAAGACAATTCTTAATCCTAGCACACTTCTAATAGTAGGTAATTCATTACATTTGGTAGAGTATTAATGAACATGAACTTTTCGGTAATTCATTTGTTTTTAGATGTAGTACACATTTATGTCAAATGTTTTATAGGAATTTATTTTTCTTAAGTTTGAGTTGCCAGTATTCTCTAAGTTTATTTTGTACAGAATCAAACTCTGCCTGTATAGTTTATAACTTTTTTGCAGGAAATGAAGCAATGTTGATAAATTTAAGGCTGTAAAATGTTAAGTTTATTTAAAATATGCCTTTCATGCTAAAAATAGTTATGCCAGGATTATATTTTGAGTTTAATAATTTGTAGGAATATAGGTTTGAGGTTTGCTTTTGTTCTGAAAAACTTTTTAACAGTTTCTTTAAGCATAAATCATTTTATTTATTTAATTGTCGATTTTTATTAATTTGGTTAGTTTAAAATTTTTAAGTTCTGTTTTTCTTATATCATTATAAAGTAAACATTACTTCAAACTCACAGGTTGAACATGTACTTCCTCTTTTGAAACGAGGAATTGGTATTCACCATGGTGGTTTACTTCCTATTTTGAAAGAAACTATAGAAATTCTCTTTTCTGAAGGATTGATAAAGGTATGACTTTATTTTTATTATGGCTCAGAATTGTATTATATGAATAGTTTGAAAATTATAAAGAACATTGTTGGGGGCTGGCAGGTTGTGTGATGGTTATGGGCACTGGACTCCTACATGACCAATTGTGGTTCACGTCCTGGACCTGGAGGCTTGCTTTCTCACTTTGCCTCTCTCTCTCTCTCTCTCTCTCTGTTTCTCTCTCTGGAAATACTAAAATAATAACAATAAAGTTAAATAATTCTAAAAAAATTGTTAATAGGCATTGTTTTTTAACTTGGTTTTATGGAATTATTTAGGTATTGGCTTGATAAAGGTTAAAAACTAAGTTTTAAAGTATAGGTTAAAAAAATAATTTGTTTCCTTAATGTAAAAAATCTGCTATTGAATACAGTAGACATTTTAGAAAAGGTACTATTTAATTATAAGCATAAAAAATTTTGTTCAATAATCTAAATTCTTTTTATGTGTGTAGAGTAAGAGGATTTGTTTAAGAAAGACAGAGAGAATTCTGGTTAGATTTAAGAAAGAGAGTTGTTAGGATGTTGTAATTTATACCAAAGCAGGTCTGATTTAGTTTTTAAGAAATGACATTCATGTCTGTACCCAAAAGTAGGATATTAAAAATTAGAAACAATTTGAAAACGTAGTCAATTTTTTTGTGTTTGGAGAGGTTTTTGCTATAGGGCGTGTGCGCTTACCAGAAAGACAGACAGAAAGTGAAAAATCACCCCCCCAGGGCGCCAGCCATGCCACAATCCCTTCTCCTCCATTCTCCTCTCGGGATCTTGGGCACGCACGCACACACGCCCAGCATGAGTTTAATCCACTGGGTCCGGGACTTGAACCGTCGTCAACTATGTGGAAGTTAGCAACATAGGCATTACACCAACTGCTGATCCCTTGAATATGTAATCATAAGTGTATATATGACTCATAAGATTTATGTATTTAAAATTTATTAGAATTTTTAAAAATCATGTGAGTGGTTTATCATGAGAATTTCCACATTAAGAATATTTAAAAGAAATTGACTCACCCCAAAGAACTTATTTGAGGCATTTTAGATAAATAATTGGTCAATATTTGTACCTGGTTCTTGTTAAATCTTTGTTCATGCTCCTATATAGATTGTATATTATGCTGGTGCTAAGGCTTACTCTTTTTTTTTTTTTTAAATTTGTCAGAGGATATGTACTTGCCAGGGGGAAAGAGAGAGACAGGGAGGAGGAAGGGTGAGGGAGAAAGCATTTTCTAGTGGGATGTGGTAACACACAATCCCACGCCTCCCCTTCACTCTGTCAGGATTTTGGACACATACCCAACATGCACCCTGTGTGTTTTTCAAGCCTTTGGGTTCTAGGTTCAAACTGGTCAGCCATGTGAGATCTAGCTGTCTATATACAGCAGTTTATTTTGGTAGGCACTGGCCCTATGTACTTATGTTATTATCTAATTTTGTTATATTGATAGACTTCAAAAAGTTTGTAGAAGATATAATTAAAATATGAATTTATTTTGGTATAAAAATTGAAATACATTGATAATTTTTCATAGTGTGTATTTCCACAAACTTTTTGAAGACCTATTGTATACGCGGTTCTTCATTCTTTTTACCATTGGATACTGTTCTATCAAGTTGATGATCTCAAGTATTTTTATCTTCTTTCCTATTGATGAAAACATAGTACTGTGGTGACCAAACCGGTATTTTGTTGGTAAAGTCTTGGAAGTGACCCTTTTTAGGGTCACTGATGCCAATCTCCCCTCAGAGATCCTAACAGTGAAGTGGTCCCCAAAACTGCTGTATCATGATGAAGAAAGCCAGGAATTTCATTGTTTATGTTTAGAAAATATTCTAATAGCCTAATGCTTACGTATTAGACCAGTTGAGTTCTCTGCATTTACCATCGCTGGAATTCAAAAAAGACTGTTTTCTTTGAATCAAAATTATTGGAATACAAAGGATGTTAAATATTATTTAATAATTATATATATAAAATTCTGAAAGATGTTTATAGTAGTATGTCATCTTTTTTTGAGTCTCATTAATAACTAATTTTAAAACTTAATGATACATTTATTTATATTTGAAAATTATAAAACTGATTTTCAACTTAAAAGACATGTTTAGTTACATAATTACTTACTCATTTATTCAGGCCTTATTTGCTACAGAGACGTTTGCTATGGGAATTAATATGCCAGCTAGAACTGTTTTATTTACAAATGCCCGCAAGTTTGATGGGAAAGATTTCAGATGGGTAAGTATAAATCAAATATTGAAATAATTTTATTTTTGTTTTACCTAAGGTGATGTTGGCTTTTGTAATATTTGAGATTTCAATCCCAAATACTTAAAAACTTGTACCTGAACTAATACAAGTTCATTAAGGTTAAGCCTTGGATCTCTTAAATTGTATAGCCAAAAAAAAGAAACACAAGGAAGGATTTATTTTGGTCAAGGAGTTGGTGATGGGAACAAGTGTATAAATGATTCATGAATGATGCTTGAATACATTTGAAATATATCTAATTCTCTGGTGGTTTTGTTTTGCTTTGGTTAAGGAACTTAAAGCTTCCCTGCTTCAGGAGCTGTAGTGGTAAATGACTATTTTGCCCTTAAAGTAGAATAAAATAGAAGTTGTAACAGGTTTGCACACATGTTTTTTTCTAGGCAGAAGCAAAGAACGTTGAGAACATGAGTGAAACTGGGGGTAAAATAATAAATCCATGAGCTAGCGGCAAGTACCTCATCCAGCCAACTATTACCAAACTTAAAATTTGGACTTAGAACTCTGGTAGATACTAGGATGCTAAAGAAAAACAAAAACAAGAAAGCAACTCTGACTCCAAAGAAACTTAGTTGTAGGTCACAGTTGACAGACATGTTATAACATGCTACAGTATTGACACTGAGAAATAAGTACAGGAAGGATCAAGCCAAGAAAAGAAAGCAGGGAGCCAGCAGGTGGTGTGGTGGTTAAAAAGCACTAGATTCCCACTTGGTTTAATGCTGTTCAAATCCTGGACACAGCTGCTTAAAAAAAATCACAGCAGATGCATGTGTGTGTGCCCAAAATCCTGAGAGGAGAATGAAAGAAAAGCGATTGTGGTATGATTAACCTCCCTGCCCCCTAGCGGGGAGAGTCACTTTCTTTCTTTTTCCAGTGAGCACATGCATCCTATGGCAAAAAACTAAAAGAAAAGGAATCCTTATACATAAGGATTCAGGAAAGTCTTAACAGAAAAAGCTTTTCTTAAAATAAGCAACAACAACAGTTGGGTATTTCTTAGATAGGGACTGGAACGTTATTAGCAGGATATGGAAGCAGGTGATGAAAAAAAAATTTTAGTTTGAGTATCTAGTTTGAGTCAAAGACTCACATCGGTGACATTTGGGGAAAATTTTAAGGAGTCTTTTACTTAATCTTTATCCTTGAAACTGGTGATTCCTTTCTTAGAGAAGGTACTATCATTGATTACTTAACCAAAACCCTAAAATGGTAGAAGTGTAAAGGCAAAGCATTTTCTTGATTTGTTACCTTTTTTTGAGAGAGAGATTTTCCAATATGGTGCTTATGCTTGCTGAAGAGAGAGAGAGAGAGAAATAGAGAGACAGAAAGCGAGAAATCACCCCCCAGGTTTGATAGCCACACTGCAATCCCTTTTTCCTCCATTCTCCTCTCAGGATTTTGGGCATTCACATCCATGTGCCTTATGTGAGATTTAAGTTGCTGGGTCTGGGACTTGAACCACAGTTGACTACATGGGAGTGTGGCAACATAATCACTACGCCACCTGCTGGTCCCAATTTGTTTCCTTTTACTGGACACTATACAAAAGAGAAATGTAAGTATAGTGAGGCAGTGTCATTTGTCTTCAGAAAGTTTTATATAGCCTTCAAAAGTTTTCTCTAATTTGTAAATCGGACAGAGGGTAATTCATGTAGTATATGATTTTTAATTGTAAAGTAGTTGTAAGTCTTGATATGTTATATATTTTGTTAATGCAGATTTTTTTTAGTAGTTTATAATCTATCAGTATAAAATTACTTTTTTTTTTTAGAGAAATATATCTTTGTTTAGGATTCATTTCACAAAGTGTTTTTTTTTTTTTTTTAAGATTTATTTATTTAATTCTATTTGTCGTTATTTTTGAATTTGACCAGACAGAAACAGAGAGAGAAAGGGAAAGCGAGAAAGGAAGTCACCAGGTCGGGACTCAAACCATGATCAGCCATGTGGGAATCCAGTGCCCTTAACCACCAGGCTATCTATCTACTGGCCCTTAAAATTACTTAATTTACAAGTAAGATAGATGCCTGGCTAGCCAGATGGCAGCTGGATCCTACAAGGACTACTACATGGTTCTAGTCCCAGACCCTGCAGTTTGAAAAACATGCCAAGTGTGTATGTGCCCAGGATCCCGATAGGAGAAAGAAAAGATTGCAGAGTGTTCATCTCCCCTGAGGGCTGCTTTCTCATTTTCTCTCTGGTGAGTACATGTACTTATAGCAAATTTAAAGAAAAAAAACGATAGATGCCACAAGAAAGTAAGATTATTCTTTGTCCTTCATGATATAGCAATAAATGTATAACTGAATTTTAAAAAGCAACCTTTTCTTCATGATTCTAGATTATAATTATGAAATTTAAAAATTGTAATATGCCACAGGCTAGTCAGGTGGCATGGTGGTTAAGGCAGCTGGATTCCTCATGGCTGACTGTGCAGTTTGCATCATGGACCCCACAGATGAAAAAACAGGCCAGGTGCATGTGCGTACCATGCCCGGGTTCCCAAGATGAATGGAAGAGAAGGGATTATAGCATGGCCATCCACCAGTGTGTGTGTGGGTGCTTTCTCATTTTCTCTGTCTCTGGCAAGTGGAGGCTCCCTACAGATTAAAAAACAACAACAACAAACGTTATAATGTAATGATGCTCTTGGAACCTTTTGAGATTTCACTGTATTGCCTTTTGAAATAATCTCTTCTGATCTTTAGGATTGGCTTGTTTTTGTGGTTGATATTGTTGTTATTTTTTACTAGTGCCTTCCTTGCCCAAGGTTGTGACATCTGTTTTTGGTGTTGTGAGTAGCATGCCATCTTATAGCGTAATAGTTCTTAACTCTTCTTCAGTTATTTTACTTTAGAATCTGGACCTTTTTCCACAGGAGAAAAGCACTTGTGCACTTAATAGAAATACTTTGCCAGTTTTCAGTTGTGGTTCAATGCTACTTTGAAAATTTATGTATGGAAGGCTTACTAACCTTTCCTATGCTAGGTTGTTCTTAGTGAGAAATTGATTCTACTGAACTCTAAGGACGCATGACAAGAAAATAAGAAATAATTGTGCTTTCCTAAGAGTTAATTTTGTACTAATCTCATTTTCCAAATTAAAAAAGCTAATTATGGTCAAGTCAGAATTAATATTTGTCTGAATTTGGATCTTTTCTTTCTTAAACTTACCTATATTCCAGGATATCTAGCTCAAAGGTATTTTTTAACGGCAGTGAATTAGCCAGTATCTTGATAAACTGTGGGGTATTTGAACGTATAAATTAACAATAATTGACTTAGTATAAAAATAGTCATTTTGAGCCAAAATTTAATTTTGTTAAATTTCATGTTTTTATTTATTTTGCATTTTTGTTCTTTTACTTAAACTCTCCTAAAACCTTTTGATTTTATATTATTATTATTATTATTATTTTTGCTATAGGGTGCATGAGCTCACCCGGAAGAGACAAAGAGGGAAAGTGAGAAATCACCCCCACATGAGGCTAGCCTCTCTTTAGTCACTTGTCTTCCATTCTCCTCTCTGGATTTTGGGAATGCATGCACATGTTTCCAGCATGTTTTTCAAGCTTCTGGGTCTGATATTTGAACCTAGCAGTTGGCCATGTGGGATCCAGCTGCCTTAACCTTCATGCCATCTGCTTACCCTAAGTTCACATTTTTAATAGTGCTTCGTATGCCTCCTTTTAGGAGCATATAACTTTTTCTTGTGAGTATTATAATGAAATTTAAAAAATCTTTTCTTCTAAGCTCTGAATTTTAATTATGCTTTAACAGATCTCCTCGGGTGAATACATTCAGATGTCTGGTCGTGCGGGAAGAAGGGGAATGGATGATAGAGGAATTGTAATTCTCATGGTGGATGAAAAGATGAGCCCAACAGTTGGAAAACAACTACTTAAGGTAACTGAGTTAAGGTTCTTGCTTTTACCAAGAATTCTAGAAATCTACTCTCAGGAACCACTTCAAAATTAGTTTGTGTCATGACCACTAGATGGCATAATGGTTATGTTGCTGGACTCCCATGTAGTCAACCACAGTTCGAATTCTAGACCTGATGCCTTGAACCTCAAGCCAGGTGTGTGTGCATGTGTGCCAAAAATCCCAAGAGGAGAATGGAGGAGAAGGGAATGCTGTGTGGTCATCCCCCCGGAGGGTGATTTCTTGTGTTTTGTCTCTGTTTCTCAGGCAAGCATATGTGCTCTATAGCAAAAATCTCTCTCAAAAAAAAATGTCAGTTCACATACCTTTCTAAATAGATACAGTGACTCATTAAATGATCTGTTCTTAGTAAAGTAAAAGAGAGTGACTGCATAAAATACTAATTTCTTGAATCCTACTTCACTTAAAAGTTGAAGAGTCATGTGGTGTGAAGATCTGCAAAGAGGTCAGAAGTCTTTATTTTGACTTCCATTTTTAAAATAGCTCTGTATCTGTCTCCTTGAGTTCACCTATCAGAGCCGGAAATAAGAGTACATAATAACTGTTTTAGGTAGTTAGTGTCATCTACTTTTCCAGTTCATTCTCTTGATTCTAAAAATTCTCATCATAGGGGCCAGCAGGTGGCATGGTGGCTAAGGCAGTAGACTCCCACATGGCTAACTGCCATTTGAGTCCCAGACCTGTCAGCTTGAAAATCATGCTGGGCGACTATGAGTGTGTGCCCAAAATTCTGAGAGAAGAGTGGAAGAGACGAGATTGTAGCATGGTCATTCCCCCAAGAGGGTGACTTCTTACTCCCCTTTCTCGCTCTCTCTCCCAGGTTAGCTCACAGATCTATGACAAAAACCTCAAAGAAAAGAAAATCCAATCATAGATTTTTAGACCTTAGTACAAATTAGCCTTTTATTTTGCTTGCTTATTATTTGTATGTTGGGTGGTCTAGGATTTTTGTTCTCTTTTGTTTTGAAGGACTTTTCAAGGAATTTTGACCCAGATACTTTCCTTCTCTGTGTAGTGAAAAGTTACTAAATTCCTAAGGAAAAGTTGATGAGAATGGAAACTCAACATCAATTCAAAACATAAATGTCATTGCCTACTCATTACTTAAAAGGAAGATTCAATACATGTTAAAACAGATTTAGATTTGTATTTACAATATTGTTCTACTTAGACTGAGAGCTGTGTGAAGAATTTAAGATATAGTTATGGGAAGCCTGATATGCTGAAGCAATATAGCTAAAGTATATGTATATATATTTTTGTACGAGAGAAGACATAGCTCATACATGTACATTCATAGTGATCTTATGGTCTCTTATTTTTAGTATTAAAGATTAATACTTGGAAACCTATCATATAACCTTACTTCTTTGTGAAAGGAAAATATAAAGCAAAAGAAAGCAGCAGAGAACTCCTAAATTGCAATTTAAATGAGTAACTCATTAACCCCAGTAATCTATAATGAGTTGTAAAGTTGTTTGGAAATGGGGAAGAGCAAGAGATAAATTTCATTTTAGGTAGTATAACCATATTATTTATCATCCAAAGTAGGATGCTATAGTAAAGGAGGGTGGGATTAATATTTAGTACAGTAAGTTTAAGTAAGTCCCAACTATCCTGGGCTCAGATTTAATGTCCAAATGCCTTGTTTAGTTTCAGATGATTGAGAATTCAGATCCGTGTATTGCACAGAAATTGGAAATACTGGGTTTGGAAATAAACATTTACTATATCAAAGCTCATGAATTCTTAAAGGAGATAATAGAAAAGTAAGAGAACACTAAAGGCTAGGTTTGCAAAATAATGTAGTAGCTGGAGTTTTCTTTATCTCTTCTCCTTGAATCTGGCTTTCATGGTAATTTCACCCCTCTCATTGGCTTTTTTTTTTTTTTTTAAGTAAAGCAGAAAAAATCAAGGTTTAAGATCCTACTGACTATCCTCCTAAAGTGGGTAGCTCTTAGTTTTTCAAGAGTTAAGGAATACCCTCACTTGACACTTTGCTGAAAGCTTCGTGCTCTTTTTCCTCACAAAATCCTGCCTGCTTACATTTAAAATTCTGTATTCCATAAGGTTGACCTGTGGACTTCAGTTAAGCTCCTGAATAGTATAAGAATATTTGTTTTTTTGTTATACCACTTAGAAATTGTGGCATATAAAGTGAAATTTCACATTTAAATATTTCAGCATGCGTTATTTAAGAATTTGGTGATTTTCTTACACAACTGTATAACTATTTTTCTTTCTTTTCTTTTACTAGAAGGCATGTGCTCTTGCCAGAGAGGGAGAGGGAGAAAGCATCCGCAGTGGGGCATCATCACACCACAATCTCTTTTCCTCCATTTCTCTGTCCTGTTGGGATTTGGGACATACACACGTGCCCAGCATCTTTTTCAGGCTACCAGAGCCAAGATTTGAATCACTCGATCAGCCATGTTGGATCTGGCTCCCATAAATACCAGACACAGTATCAGTCCATAACTATTTTCTTACAAAGTATTTTTGTTAAAAACAAACGAAAAAAACCTGAAGATACACTGCTGAATGAAAAGTTTAGGTATAAAGGAAGTCTTTGAATATAAACCTTGTCACAAGTTTAGGTCACACAGTTGTACAATAAAATTTACTGTATGATAAAATATACATTAACTTAGCTCTTCTTTAGTAGCAACTATAGTTAGAATGACAAAAAGGAGTTATCAAAGTGAAAAGAATAGCCTGTAAATTTTTGAGAACTACGTTAGTAGTTTAATGTCTTCCCAGGAAGCTGAGAAGTTTGAAATTCTCATTTGTATCTAAATACTATTCTGAATTAAATTTAGGGTACTTCATCACTGTGGGCTAGGTTAGGCACAGTAACTTTTTTCTCCCCTTTCCAATTTGCTCTAGAGTGCATGTGTTTGCCAGAGGGCATGAGTAAGAAAGCATCCCCCAGGAAGGTGGGCACACTACAATCTCTTACCCATTCAGTTAGGATTTGGGCCATGCACATGTGCCCAGCATGTTTCTCAAGCTGTCAGGGCCAGTATTTGAACCACTTGATCAGCCATGTTGGATCTGGCTCTCATAAACACCAGGCATAGTGGTAGCATATAACTATATTCTTACAAAGTATTTACATTAAGAGAAAACAACTTCTGCAGAAACATTGCTGAATATTTCATTTTAACCACCACACCATCAGCTGTCCCCAAATCTCAAGGGTTATTTCATTTATGTGCTGTTGGGTTGTTGGAAAACTTATGATGCATTTTTGGATAGGAAACATATTAATAGAAGAGTAAGTATGTCATGAGTTTGCCAAATACCTAATATAGTCTATTCATGGTTAATATTTAGAGAGCTAATCTGATGAAGTGACCACCATTTTGAACATCATTCACTGTGCTAGAAGGGGAAAAGGTAGCTTTTCACACCAGGCATTAAAGACTTGGCCAGGAAGTAACACATCAGTTTCCTCCACAGCTTATTGATCTCACCTACTACAGGGCCAGCAAGAGCATCCTATGAGGTGCTTGGATGTTAGAGAGCAAAACACATATGGCAAAAAAGGTGTGCGTTTGTGAGAGAGAGAGAGAGAAAAAGAGAGAGAGGGTTAGTGTACTTGCCAGAGAAAGAAAGGAAAAGTGAGAAAGCATCCCCCCCCATTGGGAATAGCCATTCCACAATCTCTTTCCCATTTCTCCATCCTTTAGGAATTTTGGGTACTCACACACACACACACCCAGAATGTTTTTCAGGCTGCTGAGTTGGGACTTCACCTGCGTGGTTGGCCATGTTGGATTCAGTCCTCCCAACCACCACGCCATGGGCTGGCCCACAAGATTTTAATGAAATTTTTTTTTTTTTTTTCCTAATCAGAGAACAAGCAAGTATAGGAGGAGAGAGTGAAAGTTTTTTTTTTTTTTTTTTCCCCAGGTTCTTACCTTTGGGATGTTCTGCATCATCCTTTCAGTTAGCTAGGATTTTAGGTATGCATGCTAATGTGCCTGACGTGTTCAAGTTGGTTCAGTATTTGAATCTGGCCTTCCTGTGTGGCCCTAGCCTCAGGCACTACCATTTGTGTCACTCGGGCTGAGACTGGAAAACAGTGTTTTAACTAGTAATGTCCTAGTGATCTGTTTTTTTTCCCCTTCACTTTCCCAAAGGTCAACTTGCTTGTTAGCACTTTGCATTGGTCAACTAAAAGATAGAACTAGTACATTTCTGTTATTTCCTAGCATGTACTAAATTATGAAGCATTATAACAGGTTAACAATAATTGTTAAATTTTCTTGGGAAAACCCTATAAAATTGGCATTTTTTTTTCTCTTAGGGCTCAGCTGATCCTCTAAATAGTGCTTTCCATTTGACGTACAACATGGTTTTGAACTTATTACGTGTAGAAGAAATTAATCCTGAGTACATGTTGGAGAAATCCTTCTATCAGTTTCAGCATTACAGAGCAATTCCCGGAGTAGTAGAGAGTAAGTATGAAATAACCGTCACAGAATTTAGATGAGAGACTGAACAGCAAAACAACTACATCATTGGTTGCGTTGGCCATTGTTTATTTCTAGTAAACCAAATCTTGCTCCTTACTCAAAGGACTATAGAGCTGCAGTCTGGCCATTATAACTTGAGCCTTACTATCATTTTTTCATCCCCTGTCTTCTCAAGCTCAAGTTTTTGTTTGTTCATTTGTTTGGATATTTTGAGTTTTGGGGTGGTCAGAAAGTTATGGAACCTAGATAGTTGTGATGATACCTTGAATGTATTAAATGCCACTACTGATAAATTTTTATGGTATTTGTATTTTATCACAATAAAAAATGGTTTGCTAACAGTGGGATGAAGATGTAATGGAGTAAGTGAGAAAGGGAAGTCACCTCTAGAAGCAGGGATTAGGGCCTGGAGTGGCTTCATAGACAAGTAATTTAAAAGGATAATTGACGAAAGGGGTGTTTTGAGAAGAGAGAGATAAGTATGATTAAATTACCTGTCTTTGGTTTCAGGGACCTATGCCTAAGTAGTTTTGAAAGCCCAGTGAGATTAGCAAACTGCCTTTGCTGAAAGTTAAAGCAGTATATTACATAGTATAGCTAGTGGGCATTTGAAATGGATGCTGAGAAACTGAATTTGTAAGTTTAATTTACTTTAATTAATTCAAATTTAAGTAGCCACGTATGGTTACTGTAGTAGAAAGAGAAGGGATAGGAAATTTTTTTTATCATAAAAACTTTTATAAGATCGGATTGCATTTGAACAGTATAGGCCTGAAGTTTCCAGAAATACTCCCTTTCTCCACCCTAAGCCATAGAAGGGATATTAACTAACCAGATGTAATCCCTGCCAATTTAGATTCACTTTGAAGACTTACATTGGGTAAAGTGGGAAACTGTAGGAAAATACAGAGAAAGTGAACCTTAATGAAGAAACTAGAGAGAAACTCCTGCAGTCATCTCTTAATATAATCTTTCCCTCAAAACTTCTAATCTTATCTCTGCAAACTGACTTTTTGATGTTATACATTTGTTTTATTCACAGAGGTAAAGAACTCAGAAGAACAGTATAATAAAATAGTAATTCCCAATGAAGAAAGTGTAGTCATCTATTATAAGATTAGGCAACAGCTTGCCAAACTGGGTAAAGAAATTGAGGAATATATTCACAAACCAAAATACTGCTTACCATTTTTACAACCAGGTCGTTTGGTAAAGGTACGTCATTGTTTCTTTATAAGCTATGTAGATATTTTGATTATTTTAAAAAAATTTTAGCATTTTATATAGTACTGACTTCGTGGCTTATGTCTTTTAATGCCTTTTAATCACCAGTAGTTTCACTTTGAAGAATGTAAACTGAAATATAGCTGACCCTGAACAATACAGTAATTTGGGGTGATTAGCCCTTTGGGAGGAAAAGCGGGAGGGAGAGAGTGAGAGAGAGAGGGAGGGAGGGAGTTCTCTTGGGATTTTTGGCATGCATGCACATGCCCAGTGTGATTTTCAGGCTGCCAGGATCAGGACTCAAACCACAGACTCAGCTATTTTGGCTTTAGAACCTTAACTACCACACTAACTCCTGGCCAAGAGATCAGTTTTTACTGTGATATACAATTAATTAATGAACAAGTGAGCTGCTCATGTGGAGAGGATGTTTGTCACAGTGTTTTAAAGTAGTTTTGAGCAACACTTGAACTCACTTTAATAGCAACGGTAGGTCACTATGACATTACTACAATAGCATAATATTTTATACAGTTAATTTTACATAGTTGTGATTTAATACCGCAGCTTTTACATTTGTTCACTTTTCTCTTAACTGTGAATTTTAAAAATAAAAATTTTTTTTTTTGAGAGGTTTTTGCTATAGGGCACGTGTGCTTGCCAGACAGACAGAGAGAGACACAGAGACAGAAAGCGAGAAATCATCCCCCAGGGCGCATGGCCACACCGCAATCCCTTCTCCTCCATTCTCTTCTCGGGATTGTAGGCATGTACGCACACACGCCCGGCGTGAGTTTTAAGCCACCGGGTCTGGGACGCGAACTGCGATCCACTACATGGGAGTCCAGCGACATAGCCATTACACTAACTGCTGGTTCTGAAGTTTTTAAAAATTTTTGTAGATCTTCAGGCCAACAGATAAGGAATGGTTACATTGCTGGACTGCCACATGGTTGACTGTGTTTTAAGTCCCAGTGGGGACCAGCAGATCCATAATGGTTACATTGCTGGACTACCATGTGGTTAACTGCGATTCAAGTCCTGGACATGACTGCTTCAGACTCATGCCTGGTGCTTGTGTGCCCAAGAGCCTAAGAGAAGAATGGAGGAGAAGGGATTGCAACATGGCCATCCCCCTTGGGGGGGGGTTTCCTCACTTTCTGTCTCTTTTTCTCTCCCTGGCAGCCCATGTGCCTTATAGCCAAAATCTTTCTTTAAAAAAAAAAAGAAAGAAATGTTGGAAATGACATATGAAATATTTCTAGTTATGAAATACTGTCGTTTTTTTCTTTTTTTTAGGGAGTTTTTTTGCTGTAAGGTGTTTGCACCTGCTTGAGAGATAGAGACAGTAAGACAACGAGAATTCATCCCCCTAGTGGGATGGCCAAGCCACAGTCCCTTTTCCATTCTCCTCTTGGCATCTTGGGATCTTGGGCTCTTGGGCATGTACATGCACTCAGAGTTACTTTCAAGCCTTCAGGTCTAGGACTTGAACTGTGGTTGGCCGTGTTTGAGTTCAGCAATGTAACCATTATGCCATCTGCTGGTTTCACAAAATACTATCTTAAAATAAGACAGTTCTGACCCCCCTGTTGGTTATGTGAGCCGGATATGCGTTACTGCCTGTATGATTCTATTCCTAGACTCAGAGGCTTGAAAGACATGGTGGGCATCTGCATGTGTATGCCTAAAATCTCAAAAAGAGGGAGAAATGGAAGAAAAGGGATTGCGGCTTGACTCTTCCCCATTGGGGTTGCCCTCCCCTTCCCCTCATTTGTCTCTCTTCATTGAATGCACATACCCTGTGGCAAATTGAAAAAAAAAAATTAAGTCCTGTATGAATTCACTTGATAAAATTATTTAAGATATTCCTGGACAAACATAGTATGGTATTTTTAGCATTTGTTTGCCAAAATGATATTTCTATTACTGCTGTTTTAAGAACCAGAGATATTTGTATTGATTTTTTTTCCTGTAGGATTGATATTTTGTTCCTTAAATTTAGCACTGACCTTTCAAAAATATTTTATCAGGAAAATTTAAAAAGTTTTATTATGTGGGCATAGAAGGCTAACATTGCCTTTTCGAGTATCATCATTAATCTTATTTACTTTCTTTTCTTTTCAGGTGAAGAATGAAGGAGATGACTTTGGCTGGGGAGTAGTAGTGAATTTCTCAAAAAAGTCAAATGTTAAGGTAAACTTGTCCTTAAAGTAGAATTGTACAAGGGCACTTAAAGAAATTCACAGAAAAATGAGTATTTTGGGGCCTGCAGATCACATGACAGTTAGGCACTTGACTCACACGTGGCCAAGCACCAACTGCAGTTCAAGTTGAAATATCTTACTTTGCAGTAGATCTTAGCAACCTTAGCATACTATTGTTTTCTTTATTAGCCAGGACCTTTCACCTGTTATTTAAATGAAACAGTTATACCTTCTCTTTAGCATATCTGAATTGTCAGCATCACTATCTGTTACTTCAGGAACATTATTAAGTAAACTAAGGGTTACTGGAACACAAGCACTAAGATACCACAATAAAAGGAAGACTTTCTTCTCAGGTAGTGTGAGATTTTATCATGCTACTGAAAGCAGTGTGTATTAAAATTTAAAACTTTATGTAATTCTCTGTTTAATATTTTTATAGCACTATAAAAACAGCAGAGTGTAAAACCATAGGCAACGGGAACTACTCTTACTCTGAATTTTTTTTTAATGCTTTTTAATTGGAGTGTTTTGAAGATGTAGATTTATTTTCTAATATTGATTATTTTAGTTTATTTTTGTAATTCTGCTTTAGTTTCTTTTTGTAATTCTTGTAATTTACAGCAAGTAAAATGATAAACAAATTATTAGAAACTTAAAATTAACGTTATATTGTGTCATTAGAAATGTCATTCCTAAATTAGAATTAATAAATGTCAAGTTATTTATGTGTTTTCTCATTTAGTGGAACATGTTGAAGGGTCAGAGAGCCTTCATTTCATGAAATCAACATTAACTGCTCAGTATGTGCCAGTCACAATGCTGACAAAGCAGTATACACAGGGAGCTTAAAATTCATAGACTTCTTTGTTTTTTTCTAGCCTAATTCTGGTGAACTGGATCCTTTATATGTAGTAGAAGTACTTCTGCGCTGTAGCAAAGAGAGCTTGAAAAACTCAGCTACTGAGGCTGCCAAACCAGCTAAACCTGATGAAAAAGGAGAGATGCAGGTTAATAATTTGCTTTTCATCTTTAGGTTTCAGATATTTTGTGAATTATTTATAACCACTACAGTTCTGAATATGACTAAAATGATCGTACTCTTCTTAGATTTTTTTTTTTTTTAAATTGCTAGAAGGTGGGTGCATTCACCAGAGAAGGAGAAGGAGAAAGCATTCCCCAGTCGACCATTGTCACACCACAATCCCTTATCCATTTTCATCCTGTCAGGATTTGGGGAACACATGCACACATGTCTGGTGTGTTTTTCCAAGTTGTATGGGCTGATATTCAAATCATATGGGCTGATATTCAAATCATGGTTGGTCATGTAGAATCTGCTTCTCTCACCCACTAAGTTATGGGGCTGGCCCTATAATGAACATACTGAAATGATTTCTAAATTAAAAGTTTTCAAGATACTTTGAGGTATATTATTTATGTCAGCTAAAATATCAGGAGGATGATTAGCTAAATTTCAGGGTTTCTTATGAGATTATTATAAGATAAATAATGACAATGTGAAAGGTAATAATAATTGGAATCTTTTTTATCATTTTTGTCATTAAATGATTTTTCTGGAGACCAGCAATTATTATAATGGCTGTGTCACTAGAATCCCATGTAGTCAGCCACTGTTCAAGTCCCGGACCCGGTGGCTTAAACTCACGCCAGGCGTGTGTGCATGCGTGCCCAAGATCCCAAGAGGAGAATGGAGGAGAAGGGATTACGGCATGGTCACCCCACCAGGGGGTGATTTCTCACTTTCTGTCTCTCTGCCACTCTCTGTCTTTCTGGCGAGTGCACGTGCCCTATAGCAAAAACCTCTCCCCCCCAAAAATAATTTTTTTCTATTTGAATGTATTTATGCCATTTGTTTCATTGTCATGAAAGTCATTATTAAGGTGGTTTTTTGTTTGTTGTTTTTTTTTTTTTTTTTGCTTGTTTGTTAAATTTTTTACGGACATTTTTGGCCATAGAGCACGTGCGCTCAGTGGAGAGACAGAGACAGAAAGATGGAAAGGTAGAAATCACCCCCTGAGGGGATGGCCATGCTGCATTCCTTTCTCCTCCATTTTTCTCTCGGGATTTTGAACACACACACACACACACACACACACCCAGCATGAGGTTTTAAGCCACTGGGTCTGGGACTCCAAAACCATGGTTGACTACCATGGGAGTCTAGTGATATAACTATTACACCATCTGCTGGTCCTGCTTGTTTGTTTGTTTGTTTGTTTGTTTGTTTTTTAATTATTTATTTTATTTTATTTATTCATTCATTCATTTTTAAATTTTACCAGAGACAGACAGAGGTTGAGAGTGAGAGAGAGAGGAAGCGAGAAAGCAAGCCACCAGATTCAGGACTCGAACCCTGGTCAGCCATGTGGGAGTGTCCAGCGCCTTAACCACCACGCCACCTGCTGGTCCCCTGTTTGTTTGTTTTTAGGAGAGATTTTTGCTTTAGGGCACGTGCGCTCACTGGAGAGAGAGAGAGACAGAAAGCAAGAAATCACCCCCAGTGGGGGAGTGACCACATTTTAGTCCTTTCTTCATTTTCTTCTTGGAATTTTGAGCACACACACACACACACAAGCGCCTGGTGAGTTTCAAGCCTCCTGGTCTGGGACTCAAACCATGGTCAACCCTGTGGGAGTCCAGCAACATAACCTTTACGCCACCTGCTGGTCTCAGGGCATTGTTTTGTTTTTTTTTTTCTTTTTTTTTTTTGGAGAGGTTTTTTGCTATAGGGGGCCTGCACAGAGAGAGAGAGACAGAGATATAGAAAGTGAGAAATCACCCCCCAGGGGGGATGGTCACGCCGCAGTCCCTTCTCCTCCATTCTCCTCTCGGGATCTTGGGCACGTACGCACACGTGCCCGGCATGAGTTTAAGCCACCGGGTCCGGGACGCGAACCGCAGTCGACTACGTGGGAGTCCAGTGACATAGCCATTACGCTAACTGCTGGTCCCAAGGGCATTGTTTTGATAAAGAAAAATCCTATCAAAGTTCTGTTAGTTAAAGTACTTTATTTTACATGTGCTTCTGTTGATAGTTAAATGAAAAAGATTTTACTTGCCATGTTGGATATTTGTATTTCTTGAATGAATCTTATATTTATATTGCTATAAATAAAATAATTGCTGGTAAGGTCTTACTGCAGAGATTCCAAGTATCTGTTTGAAGTCTTAAAGTGGAATGGTATTGATTTTAAGCATTGCTTCAAATTTGTAGTGCATTGGGGCCAGCAGGTGGCGTAGTGGTTAAGGTGCTGGACTCCCACATGACTGACCATGGTCAGTCTTGGCCCCAGCAGCTTGAAAATCAGAGTGGACACATGTGCATACAATCCCAAAATCCCAAGGAGAGAATGGAGGAGAAGGGATTGCTATATGGCCATACCCCTGAGGGGGTGATTTCTCACTTTCTCTCTCACTGTCTCTCTCTTCTGGTGAGCATGCATGCACTATGGCAAAAAAGTAAAAACAAAACATGGGAACCAGCAGTTAGCGTAATGGCTATGTCGCTGGACTCCCACGTAGTCGACCGCGGTTCGTGTCCCAGACCCGGTGGCTTAAAACCCACGCCGGGCGCGTGTGCGTGCGTGCCCAAGATCCCGAGAGGAGAATGGAGGAGAAGGGATTGCGGCGTGACCATTCCCCCCTGGGGGGTGATTTCTCGCTTTCTGTCTCTATGTCTCTCTCTGTCTGTCTGGCGAGCGCACGCGCCCTACAGTGAAAATCTCTCCAAAAAAAAAAAAAGTCAAAACAAAACAAAACAAAACATAATGTGGTATATTGGCTAGGTGTTTTGGGAAATATCAATGTAATGATATTTTGTAGAAAGTGAAATATGCCAGTAGGATAAACTGCTTTAGAAATCATGATGGGATTTGGAGTTGAGAGTATTTATTTTGAAACATTTTTAAATGATGATTTAAAGGTTTATTTATAAATAATTTAAAGGTATATTTATAATTCCAAATACTATCTAGCCTTTTATCCCCATTCTTCATTCTGGGGATAGAGAGCAAAACTGTTTTGCTCCAGAGTTCTACCATCAGTAAAACTTACAATTTTTTCCCTAACATTTATTTTAGTGATTGACTGTCTTACTATAAATGAATCTAGAACTCCCACAATCTATAATCAGTATTCTAGCAAGTTTCCAATAATTACCCATGTAGTTATTTAGATTTCTATAGAGCTATGTTGCATCATGATAAATCTGAATTTTAGTTACTTTATAAAGGTAAAGGTTTAGAAAATTGAATGAACTAAATATTACATGATTTAAAATCTCTGTGACTTTAAGCCAACAAGTGGTGTGATGGTTAAGGTGCTGGACTTCTACTTGGTGAGTCCTGGACTCAGCAGCGTGAAAATCATGCCATGCTTATTTGCCTTCTCAGAATCTGGAGAAGAGACTGAAGGAGAAGGGACTGTGGTGTGGCCATCCCTCTTGGAGGGTGATTTCTCACTTTCCATCTCTCTCTCCCTGGCATGTACATGTGCCCTATGGTAAAAACCTTTAAAAAAAAGAAAGACTCTCTGACATGAGTGATTTAGTTTCATGTCATCTGCTCATTTATCTTTTAAACATTTAACTTCTCAAACTGGCTTCATGGCCAGTGGTTGAGGCAGCCAAATCCCACATAATCACCTGTGTGGTTCAAGTCCTAGTCCTGGCAGCTTGAGAAACATGCTAGGCATACATGTTCATTTACCCAAAATCCTGAAAGGAGGACGATATGGAGGAGAAGCAGTTATTCAGTGATCATTCCCCATGGTGATTGCTTTCTCCTCTTCCTTACTGTCTCTCTGGCTAGTGCACATGCCCTCTGTCAAAAATAGAAAAAGCTATCTCTCATTTACAAAACGTCATGGTTCTAATTAGGGAAGTCCTAGGATCTTCCTTTCCTGTGCTTAAGGTAGATATTTGTAGGAGGGCTTTTGTAGTCTCTTTCCTGTCACTATTGTGAGAACTCACGCCAGGTGTGTGTACCTGCATGCACAAGATCCTAAGAGGAGAATGGAGGAGAAGGGATTGCGGTGTGGCCATCCCCCCCAGAGGGTGATTTCTCATTTTCTGTCTCTCTCTGTCTTTTTGGCGAGTACACATGCCCTATAGCAAAAACCTCTCCAAAAATAAAAAAAATTTTAAAAAAACTTCCACCTCACCTCTGTTTATAGAAGCCCTGTGGATTCAAGACAAGTATAAAAGAAGCAGAAATACATATTTAATGGGGAGGGCAGGATATCCTTGATAGGAGAATACATGGGAGAAACTATGCAAGTAAGTGTTGGGAGATTATGTCTTAATAGAATATGCTGTTTTTTTCCTCCTTTCATTCTAACCCATCCAGAACTTAAACCTTACCTGGCCATGTAAACCTGTTAAACTAGAGTCTTTCATTCTTCTTTTGTGTAATAGTACTTGATGTATTCAGAATTGCTAAATAATGTAGATGAATACAGTATCGATTCTGAATTGAGGAAATTTCTTATTTTTATATACCATTCAGTTGTCTGTTATTTAGAGTTCTTAGTAAGCTTTTACTTCTGATTATAGTCAGCAGTAGAGGGCTGCCCCACAGTGATTATCATCAAAATTTTACAACTTTATGGGTCATAAATATATCTTCTTTTCAAGGATCTAAGTTTTGAAAACAGCAGAATTTTTAAATGTGCAATTTAATGCTAATATTATGTAACTTTTTGTTCATAGGTTGTCCCAGTTTTGGTGCATCTCCTCTCTGCTATCAGCAGCGTTAGGCTTTACATTCCTAAAGACCTTCGGCCAGTGGACAACAGACAGAGTGTTTTAAAATCAATACAGGTACGCATGTTAATTTTATAAGTTAAACAAATTTTATATAAATATAAATAGGGTTTATGATGAGGCAACTTAAATGCTTCTAAACACATTGCTTTCTTTCAGAAAAACTATAAACTACCATTAGTGGCAGTTTTTTTTTTAAGAATTAATTTATTATTATTCATAATTACTTTTTAATTTGCCATAAGGCATATGTGCTCACCACAAATAGAGAAGGAAAGTGAGAAAGTAAGCCGCCAGTTCTGGGGCTAAAACTGCCATCGGCCATGTGAGATTCCAGCATCTTAACCACGCCACCAGCTGTCCCCAATTATTGTTTTTTACTAAGGATAAATTTTTTTTAAACTTTATTAAAATTCATGATAGATAATGTGCATGTATACTAAAGAGAGAGATCAGGATGTTGGTCATCTGTATATGCTCATTGTATTTTTAGGCCAACCCCGTGCTAGGATCTGGACCCGTGATTAGCCCTGAGGCTTCTAACACTGCAGTTCAGTTTGCTCTGAACTGCACCATTAGACTGTGCTTGGTGACATGTATTTACCATAAAAACCGTAGCAGAAAAATCTTCATAGAGATTTATCTTCCCTTTGATTCTACCAGCAAAGCAAATTACCAGGACTCACGAAGGAAAACAGTGGGCCGTTAGTCTTTACTAGTATATGTACATATAGTTTGCTTTATTCATTATGAGTAAAGATAGCTATAGCCTATTAGAAATGCTATGTATAAAATTATGTGCCAGGACTCTATACCACTTTTTAATATGGTTAATAAGTGGATGAAGTTTGATTTTCAGTAGAAAAATGACAACTTTTGAAATTTTAATTTTCTAGTGGAAAAAAAGAAGTGACTTGATCAAAGTTATTTAGTCAGGAAACATTTGTGAAGCATTTACTGTGCAGCAAATGAGAAAACAAAGACCAACAGTATGCTTTCAGTCTAGAGTTGGAGTTTTTAAGCTGTGGTCCATAGGTAGGCCCCTTGAGATGAATGATTGTCCTGATAGTTTTACGAAATTACTATGCAGATGTGAATGTGATGCTCCCCAAAAACACTCCCAAGAAGTCAAAACTTGATTAAATGAAAATGAATGTGTAAGTTAATTGAAGTGTAAATTTCCACAGAAAGGGCTTTTTCTAACATTTTCAAAATTAGTGACATAGTTTGATCTGCAATGCATGCTATTCATTATTAGGTTAGCATGAATAATGCCTTCATTCTAAAAACAACTAATTAATTTGAATTAGGTCAGTTTTCATTTTACCAAACTTAAATTGAAATTTATTCTTACAGCGTATTGAAAAATTTCAGGCTTGTCTTATATATTTTAAACACTACTGTGCTGTATGCCAGATCTCTTTCAGCTTCAATATTAACTTTAGCGTTAACCTCACTGAATCTCAGTTTTGTGTGATTATTTAAAGAAGCCTACACTGTTGTCCTTTGTAGATGATTACATTGGTCATCACATATTAGGAAATGGAAAGAAGAATATTCAGGGAAATGAGCCCACTTAATAGAACCCTTCAGATAATGCCTAAAGATTTTTCTTTCGTTAGTTAATTGTACCTTTTTTAAGGTGAGAATTATAATAAAAATTTAGTGTTTTCTCTTTTCTTGCACCTCATGCCTGTGACTCAGTTGCTTTATATATAAACATGGTATGGGCCCACCCATAGTAATGGTTAAGGTCAGTACACAGTGAGGGTTGAGGTGGCTGGATCCCACATGGCTGACTGTGTGATTTGAGTCCCAGACCCAACGACTTGAAAAACAGCCATGTACAATGCATACATGCCTAAAATCCTGAAGGGAAAATGGAAGAGAGGAGATTGTGGTGTGGCCATCCTTCTTGGGCATTGCTCCCGAATTCCCTCACCCCATGAGTGCATATGCCCTCTAGCAAATTTTTAAAAAGCACTGGTGAAATTGATCTTCAAGATTCTGTGATTTGAACTGACACTCACCCTCTTAGGGCAAACATAGATCTAGAACCTGCTATATGCAATTAGCAAAAGAAACAGTTTCTCAAAACATCTTGCATTATTGACTAATTTTGGATAATGTTGTTCCATGTCTTTTAATCCTTTACTTTTTTTTTTTTTAAGAATTATTTATTTATTTATTTCCATTTGTTATTGTTATTTTTTTCTTTATTTGATGAGAGAGAAAGAGGAGAGAGGAGAGAGAGAGAGAGAGAAAGGGAAAGTGAGAAAACAAGCCACCAGGTCCAGGACTTGATCTATGGTTGGCCATGTGGGAATCCAGTGCCCTTATCCACCACACCACCTGCTGGCCCCTTAACCCTTTACATTTGTGGTTTTTTACTCTTAGTGTGCTCCTTTTTTGTTGTTGTTCCCAATTCCTAACTAGCCAAATCCTATCTTACCTCCAAACCCTAAGACCCTGAAAGTCTCCTAGTAGTATACCAGCTTACAGTGACCTGTCCTTTCAGTTCTCAAAGGACTGACATGCTTATTATAGTTAACAGTTAATCATATTTAAAACAAAAAAGTAGGGGCCGGCAGGTGGCATGGTGGTTAAGGGTGCTGGACTCCCACATGGCAGACTGTGGGTTGAGTCCTGGACCTGGTGTCTTGCTTTCTCACTCCCCTCGGCACCCCCTTTCACTCTGTCCTTCTCTGGTCAAATGAAAATAAGTAAATAAATAAAGTTAAATAAAATAATTTTATGAAGTATAGCAAAAAGGCATCAGGATCCTTTAAAAAGTTTATATTTTCCATTGCACTACTACCCTCCCTAGGAATCAGCCCAAATAATGTGAAAATCATAAACGTTTGCCACACAAAATATGTTTCATAGAGGATTATTTACAATTGCAAGAAGGTACAACAACCTGAGAATATGGTAATGGATTTATCATTAAAGTGTCAGTGATATATTTACCACATTCAAAGCTATTGATTTATTAGTAAGTATATTCTGGCCTACCATGTATTATGTATAAAATATGTATTTCTTATGTCAGTAAGTCATAGTACAGTGATTTAAAAAATGTTTAAAAACAAATGCAATGAGGATACATCCTGTAAGTGGGAAAAGAATTAAATTATAAAGAAGCATCCTTTCTATTTGTATGTTCATGTGCTTACAAAAAAAAAACATAAATAGAAATACTGATTTAGTTGTTTTTACTAATTTTGCCTCTAAAATGAAAATTAAATTCATATACTTTGTTTTAGGAAGTTCAGAAACGGTTTCCTGATGGTGTGCCTTTATTAGATCCTATTGATGATATGGGCATTCAAGATCAAGGGCTGAAAAAAGTTATTCAGAAAGTAGAAGCTTTTGAACATCGAATGTACTCTCATCCACTTCACAATGATCCAAATTTGGAAACTGTGTATACACTTTGTGAAAAGAAAGCACAGGTATGGCAGAAACTTCATTTTTATAATTAAATTCTGTGTATTCTTATTAAATGATGGATAGATATTTTCTTGTCCTAATGGTTTTATGAGGTAATACAAGTAGTTTAAACTGTCAACTCATCAGCAGGACAAGAAGAGGTTCATGTTGCTATAGTTTGGTATTAGATATATATATTTTTTTAAAAGTTCGTTCTTTTTTAAATAGAGTTACAATTTACATAGCGTAACATTCACCCTTTTAAAGTGTCCAAATCAGTGATTTTTAATATATTCACATATAGCTAAGATCATCACCACTTTTGGAACATTTTCATTACAGAAGAAACTTCATTCTGTTTCCCTATCTTCCAGAGCCCCTGGCAACCACATCTACTTCCTATTTGTATGGATTTGCCTATTCTGGGCATTTTATATACAGAGAAATCATTTAATATTTGGCCTTTGTGTCTTGCCTTTTTCAGGGTTCATCCATGTTTAAGTATGAATCCATCCTTCATTTCTTTTATAGCTGAATAAATAGCCCACTGTATGAATATACCATGTTTTGTTTACCCATTTATCAATTGATGGACATTTGAGGTTTTTCAGCTTTTTTGGCTATTATGATTGATGCTGCTATGAACATTTGTGTACAAGTTTTTGTGTGGACACTTGTTTTTATTTCTCGAGTGGAATTGAGTCAGATTGCTAGGTCTGTTGTTAGTTCCACATTTACCTTTTCTGAGAACATTCCAAATAGTTTTCCAAGGTTGCTACATCATTTTACAATTCATCCTGCAATTTATGAGTTCTAATTTCTCCTTTACTCTCCAACATAAGTTTTTATCTGTTTACTATAGCCATTTTAGTAGTATAAAGTAATACTAGTTACACTTTTTAGTGTAGTCAGCTATAATCTCTAACCAGTAAAAGCAATCTTCGCCATTCTGAATAATGAATTTAGGAAAAGCTTTTTGAAATGAATACATTCCTTTCTGCTATCCAGTTCTCTTCAGCTGTAAACTTTTATACTGGTCAAATATCAGTTCCTTCACGAAATTTACAGCTCCTTGCCATTATACTTTTTTAGTTACATTAGAGTAATATGCTTAGTTCTTTGTTTTAAAGGTCTCTTTCTACCTTTCTGTGAACTAACGTCATGTGGTCATATGCCCCAGAGAGCACAGAGGCTGTGTGCTAGGGGAAAACATGTTATGCTGTGTTCTGGCACACTAGGAAGTGCTGCTAGACGAAGCGTGCTAGGTACTTCTTAGGATGCAGAAACTGAGATACAAAAACCGGAAGTTACTTCCACAAGGATATCTAGTTATTCTGGCCATGCTCATCTTTCACAGGGAACATTGAGGGAATTCTCCCTGCTTCCTGTCACTCCTTACTTGGCCATCAGAGTCAGCTTTAATAGTTTCCACAATACACAGATGGAGACTTGAGCTTGTTTGAATGATGACTGTAAAGTATCGATGGAGATGGTTTGGAAACACAGGGAGAGGCATGATCTGAGCTATTGAGACTGAAAAAGATCATAGTGTCCAACTAGATAAATTTGTTATGAATACTGCAGTAACATGGAAGAATGATTATACATGAGTGTTAAATGCAAAAAGCAGGATCCAAACTTGGTGCTGACTATGATTATATTTAGCAAAATAAAAAGCTTTTTAAGTGGTTGGGTTAGGATGACATAGATTAGCAGGTCTCCTCTCCCACCCTTCTTACCCTGACTCCCGTGTTGTCTGTAATACTCTTCTTGTATTTTGTTTTCAGTGAAAGAAAAATACAAAGAGTTAATGATTTTGGGAAAAACACATTTTTTATGGCTTCCTAGTGACTGAAGGATATATTTTACATCCCTTACTCTTGGCTTCAAAACCTGCCATCTCAGTTGTGCTCTCATCCTCTGACCCAGCCTTCTCAGTCTGGGAGTTGAAACTGCTAAGTGAGGCAATTCAAAGGATGCACTTGTAACATTGTTAGGAAGAGCAAGTGAATATAAACCACCTCAGTATTCATTGATACGAAGTTAGATGTACCTGTCTGCACAAGGAAGATCAACAGGGCCATTAAAAAGAATGACATAGATATATAATATGTTCTGGAAAAGAAATCCTAATGTATCAAATGGTAAAGGAAGCTGATCTCACTTCTTTGGAGGAAAAGTCCCTATACCTATGTATCCATGCATTATACACATTTTTATTTATGTGCATTTATAAACATAGGAAAAGACCTATAACAACATTGTCCCATAGAAATACAATGCAAGCCACATGTGTAGTTTAAAATTATTAATAGTCATTGAAAAATAAGAAAACAATGCCAGCAGCTAGATCACACAGGGCTGGGTGCATGGTTCAAGTCTAGGGCTTGGTGGCTTGGAAAACATAACCAGGCATGTATGCATGCATGCCCAAAATCCCAAGAAGAGAATGGAGAAGGAATTGCAACTGGCCATTCTCCCTGAGGTATTTCTTATTTTCTCTCTCTCTTTGTCTTGCTCAGCAAGTGCACATTTCCTATAGCAAAAACTTAAAAAAGAAAGAAAACAAGTCAACTCATTATTATTATTGTTGTTGTTATTTTGGAGATAGAGATTTTTTGCTATAGAATGTATGTGCTCACCAGAGACACACACAGAGATAGAAAGCGAGAAATCACCCCCGCCCCCGGGGGGGTGGGGAGGGGATGGCCTTTCTGCAGTTCCTTCTCCCTTTTCCATTCGTCTCTCAGGATTTTGAGCATGTACGCATACTTGCCCAGTGTGAGTTTTGAGCTGCCCGGTGTAGTACTCAAATCACGGTGGACTATGTGGGGGTCCAGCAACGTAACCATTCTGCCATTTACTGGCCCCCTAATTTTAATTTTTTTTTTTTTTTTTTAATGCTATAGGGCATGAGCGTTCACGGCGGTGGGGGACGACCCCACCCACCATTTCTTCTCCATTCTCCTCTTGGGATTTTGAGCATACACACATGCACATGTACCTGCTGTGTAATTCAAGTCACTGTGTCTGGGACTTGAACAGCACAGTCAGCCATGTGGGATGCAGCCACCTCAACCACCATGCCACTATCTGGTCCAATATTTAACCCAAAATATCTAAAATATTATTTCAGTTTTTAAATATTCAAAATATAAAAATTACTGAGAAAATTCTTGATTATTAGACTTTCTTCTAATTTATCAATTTTGTAAGCCTCCTAGTACTTAGCACAGTGTTCTGCTCTGCTCATATAGGTATCTTCAGTCAAACCCTAAAAAGCACATTTTGTTTTCCTGATAAGCCTGATAAGCCATGCTAATTAATGTAGTTATCAAGCATTGAAAGCATTGTTTTTATGACATGGCACATTGACAGCACATTTGTTCATAGCAGTATAAATTATCCATAAGAGCTCGAATTCTAGAGTCTGGTAGCCTTAGCTTTGAATTCAATCTTTTTCTTTTCTTTTCCTTTCCTTTCCTTTTCTTTTCTTTCTTTTTTTAACGAGATTTTTGCCTTAGGGCATGTGCACTTGCCAGAGAGATAATGAGAGGGAAAGGGAGAAATCACCCTGTGGAGGTGGCCACACTGCAATCTCTTCTCCTCCACTCTCCTCCTAGGATCTTGGACTGCATGCATATGCACCTGGCATGAGTTTCAAGCTACTTAGTCCAGGACTCAAACCGCAGTCGGTCATCTGGGAGTCAGCAATGTAAGCGCTGTGCCATCTGCTGGCCCCCTCAATCTTTCTTATGCATTAGTTTTGTGACTTTAATCAGTTTATATGTCGTGATCTTTCTGTGTCCCAGTTTTCTCATCTGTAAGATTACAGATTTAATATGAGCTCCTACCTTTTAAGATTGCTATAGTAAATGAAACCATGTAAAGCACTAGAAATAGAGTATAAAGGTAACCTGAATAAGTAACAGTTTCTAATTACCTTTTGGTTGTAGCTTAATAAACAATCTGGGGACCAGCAGATGGCGTAATGGTTATATCGCTGGACTCCCATGTAGTCAACCATGGTTCTAGTCCTGGACCCAGAGCCCAGAGGCTTAAAACATGCCAGGCACATATGCATGTGTGCTCAAAATCACAAGAGGGTACTGGAGAAGGAGTGCGCTGTGGCCATCCCCACCTGGGGGGTTATTTCTCGCTTTCTGTCTCTCTGGTTGAGTGCATGTGCCCTATAGCAAAAATCTCCCCCCCAAAAAAAATCTACAGCATTCTAGAGTCATTTAATTTAGCTTCTCAATCCTTAAACTTTTCTATCAGTGTTTTTCAGCCTCCACCTGAGGATACCATTTTTTACTTTCTTTTGAACTGTAATATTCTTACCACATTTGGAAAATATGTACTATTCATTAATTAATGGATTTTCTTTTTTTTTTTTTTATTGCTGGCAGCATGTGCCCTTGCCAGAAAGAGAGAAAGCCACACACCTGTGAGATGTAATTGAGCCACAGTTCCTTTTTCTTTCATTTTTTCCATCCCATCGTGTTTTGAGCACACATACACCTGGTGTGTCTTTCAAGCTTCTGGAATGGTCTACCATGTCGTTACACTTTTTTATACGCAGTGCTTTTTTATGCTCTGCAGTAGGTGCTGATCCCTGATTAACTGAATATTAAAACCCAACTCTAAAGGATGGCCTTAATATTTATTTGTTTTCATGTTAAGCTTTCATTTCTATGTATAGAATAAAGACCTTTCTTTGCTAAAGCCATTTGCATGTTAGGCAAATACATGTTATTATCTGAGGGCAAAAAGAAGGAAGGCATTGCAGGGCCTCATGGGGGAAGTATAGGTAGTCAAGAGAAAAAAATAAATCATGTACCTTCATCTTTTTTACCCTGTTCTTTAAGCTACTCCCTAATTCCCTAAGGATGAAAAGCTGGAACTAGTAGGTGTTCAGAGCATGATTATTAATGAGTTCTGTCTCCAGAAGGCCCATCCTAATTCACCACTGTTCTTTTCTACTCCCTTCAGTCTACCTTGTCGATTGCTTGACCACCAGCTCACTGCCCTCTTTAATAACCCTTCCTCCTTACGTCTCCTCGTATAAGCAAGAGCTGTGTTCTATTCCCCAGCTTCTTATGTGTTTTACAATTCCCAATATCTCTTGCTCTGCCACAAATTTTCCAAATGAACATTTCCTAAAACTTAATATTTTAGCTAGTAATTGATTACCGTTCAAATGCATCATTTTTCTTACATACATAAATTCTTTTATCCTGGGAATACATCTAAGAAGTTCCCATTGTCCTCCTATTCAAAATCCCCAATGTAGAAGCTTTAACAGAAGTGTGGTATATTATAGTTTTATAAAATATTTTTGTTGTATTTCATGAATAAATTTCCTTTTATGTCATTCACTTTACTATTGAATTTTATGCTTTGTATACCTTAGATTGCAATAGATATTAAATCTGCAAAGAGAGAACTGAAGAAAGCGAGAACTGTCCTACAGATGGATGAGCTCAAATGTCGAAAACGTGTTTTAAGAAGGTTGGGATTTGCTACTTCTTCTGACGTCATAGAGATGAAAGGACGAGTGGCTTGTGAGATAAGCAGGTAAAATGTGGCTGTTCTGGAAAGTTGATTTTTAAATGAGATTCTATCTTTAAAATGAGAGCCATTAATTTTTAGGAATAAAGAGCTGTCTTGAAAATAGAAAGTTTGTGTAACACCTTTCTTATTAAACATAGTCTAATAAGACTGTGAAATTGAGAAATTAGAAAAATCTCTTAGTTCTCTAATCAGCATAAGCCCTAGGGTTTTTACACAATCTTAGTTTACACACAAGTTTGTGTGTGTGTGTGTGTGTGTGTGTGTGTGTGTGTGTGTATATATATATATATATTTTTTTTTAAAAATTTGCGAGGGGGGGTGCGCTCTTT